CACACCAGCATGGAACACAAGAGCACAGTGCAGCAAACATACATCCAAGACACAAATAACAATAAAGGTCCACACTGTTCACGAACCCCGAGTCCCCGGAACCGGGTCCGTGACACATATACTGTAATATCATTAAAGGATTCAGAGAATTTGGATAAATCTCAGCACACCAGGGTAAAGTCTGCAAATTGTTATCGAATGGCTGTGTCCTTTGGCTGCTCATGTGGCACCAGATATGATTCTGTAGTGGAAAAGTGAAAAACACAGCTTGAGTTCAGAAACACTTCTGAAAACCTCTGCAAATAAAAACAAATGGTATAAAAATAAGATCCAGAAACGCTGCAGATTTCTCTCTGCCTCATCCTGTGGGCGATGAGCTGAAGGTGAGAAGGATGGTGGTCTTGTGGCCGGTGCACAGCTTAAGAGTATCAGTATCAGAAATGGTAATGGGGGGAACATTAGTGCACATGGTATATGTGACCTGCATTGTTGATGCTAAACAGTATGTACATGTTTTGGATATGGGTCTGTAGTAAGTCTGTAGTCCAGGTGCTAAACTGGCCTGCCTTTGGTTCAGACCTGTTGGAAACATTTGTTTCAATGTGAAACAAAAATAGTTTTGCAAATCTTTTGCATTTTACACAGTCGTTCAGCTGTTTTGGAAATAACTCTCTTTTGGAAAGGGGAAGCAAAAGTTGACAGTACTATTGTACAATATTACTGTACATGAAAGTATACATATTTCCCTGCAAAGAAGTGTGAGAAAACCTAGAGAATAAGGGCTATGCCTAATACTAGTGATATATAAATTAGAAGGAAAGGGAGCATGTTTATATCCCAGAGGTTTCCAGCAAAATCCCAGACAAAGATACTAGAAACAGTAAGTTGATAAGAAGAAAATGGCAGGGAGAGAAGAAGAAAAGAGGCGCGAAAGACAGAAGATAGAGCCTTTATTCATGGAGGAGACAAAGCAGACAGTAAATAAATGTGGGTCTTCCCCCAGAGTCCAATATTTTGGGCTTCACTCATAAGCATGTCACATTTGAAGGTCTGAGACTCCAAGGGGCCTGGTTCCACCATCTGAAATGCCACAGACTTGTTCTCAGCCACAAGCCCTGATGTCACTCCGCGCTGGATTTAGTCGCTGACAGAGATGGATGAGAGAGGGAAGAGAGGCATTAGAGGGAATCAGTGAATGGAAAATGCAGCAGTCTGACCAGAATTTACTGTCTGTCTGCAGTGCAAAGTAATTGCCCGATAGTTTAAGGTCAAAATCCAAAACAAAATGAACAATATTGGTACATTTTATAGTAGGCAAATCACTTGAACCTCTGAGCTGGGCTTTCTTAGACAGTCAAATTAATGAGCTGGTCACTGAAAACAAACATGCAGAGTTTTTAATTTCATGGGTTTAGTTCTTTCATTCTAATTCACACACATTTGTGTTTTATTTTATTATTCAATTTAACAGTTTCACAGTCCATAATCAAGTTATACTTAACATGTTTTACCACCGTGTGTTTCCAGTGAATGGTGGATGGTCGACATGGACAGAGTGGTCAGTGTGTAACAGCCGCTGTGGCCGTGGTTACCAGAAACGCACACGGAGCTGTACTAACCCAGCGCCACTCAATGGCGGTGCCATCTGTGAAGGGCAAGGCATCCAGAAGCTACCGTGTAATCCTCTCTGCCCAGGTATTAAAATGATAACACGCCCATGTGTACGTGGGCGTGTTGAGTTCAGGTGCACATAAACGAAATGCATTCAATTTGATGCGACTCTGTACGTTTGCACAAATTCCGCCCAGTTCGTGCGTCCACCGCACCCACTCCACCTGCTCGCGCGCTAAATTCATCTTCATCTTCTCATTTGCCATCTCGTTCGCTCGACCCTCATCTGTCCTGTCTGTTATGTGATAGTGGATGGCCTGTGGACAGAGTGGAGTAAGTGGTCCACCTGTGGGACAGAGTGCACCCACTGGAGGAGGAGAGAATGCAGCGACCCAGCACCCAAAAACGGGGGAAAGGACTGTGAGGGCATGGTGCTCCAGTCTAAGAACTGCACCGATGGGCTGTGCATGCAGAGTGAGTACCCGATTAATCCTCTGCGACTGTCTGACCTGCCAACAAAAGAAATCTCTTCACCCTTTGACCGGGACTTTCACTGTGCTCTTTCATCACTGCGCGCTGTGTTTCACGTCCTCACATAACACGCTCACCCTGTCCTCACCCAGTCTGTTTCACTTCGCTCATACATAAACAATAAGACAAGCCGAAACGCCTCTCTGTCCTCTGCACTTGATCTGTTTCTCTTTATTTTTATGTACACAACAGACAAAAGCGTTTTTGATCAAAGCAACATAAAATCAAAAACCACCACACATCTTCCTGTGTCAGTTCTATTGCAAGCATAAGTACACGTTTAAAAAAAAAGTACTTGGCCGCAAGAGGAAGCAATCTAACTAATTATCCTTGTCATAAGCTAAGAATTTGGGAGGTATATTTGAAAATAATAAGTCATTATGCACTAATTACACAAAAGGGGAGGGGGCACAAGGACTAAACTGCTTTGATTACTACCTTTACTGAAAAACTCTGGATTCCTGCGTCCAACGATAGGAAACACAAGGCCACAAAGTAGCACGTGTTTGGACTCGCCCTCTTTTCCGAGCTGGCCTTTATGTTCACTGTAAAGTGAACAAATACATATCATTTGGTATTACAATAACTTAAAAAAACGCAAAAGACATCCAGATGCACCAGCATTTTTCTTTCTTTGCTTTTACTTTGTCTTTCAAGTAGCAAACTAAAGCCAGTTTGTGGTGCAGCCAGATATTTTTCTGCAGGCAGAGAATTGTTTTCTTCTCCTCTTTGTTCCAGTGAAGTTAAAAACAGCCACGCACTCCAGTGAAGCCAACAATCCTGCTTCCTCTGCCTTATAACACATTCACAGATTAGAATCGAGCCGCAGTTGCTTTGATGCACGTTTGTGTGTATGTGTTTGCATGTGTGCCGCAGTATTATGTTGTTACAGGGTGAAACACCTACATCCTAAAACATCAAAACTAAACCAAAAGTGCTAGTAGTGATTCTGTGCCTTTAATAAAAAGAGAGAGTCTGTGAAAGGGAGAGAGCATCGCAGAGTAAGTGAATTAAACTCTGTGTCTAGTTGCATAAAATTCCTATTTAATAAACATCTCTGTAGGTGTAGGACTCAATCGCTGTCACAAATGCCTCTGTCGTGTGTATAACCTATTACAGATGGTGATGTGACACTAATAATATAACAGCAGCTCAGCTGCTAGATGTATGAAATTTGAGACAGCTAGCGACTGCTGTGTGCAGCAGATCTGAGTTTTTGCTGCACCATAAGGTTGTAAACTGCTACCTGTTGATGTGGTGTAGCGTGGGTTACATCTTCAGATGCAGATGGCTGGTGGATCTGTATGCCTCTGAAGTAAATGCCTGCCGTCACACGCATGTTCTATATGTGCTAAGGACGGTGTTCAGGAAACGTTTTAACATCAGAGAGAGGTTGCATTAGCTCATTACGAGAGGGAGCACATATGTAAACGGCATATAGAAGCACGAGAGAGAGAGAGAAAAAAAAATCAATAAGAAGGCCGTGACAGATGTGCTGTTATTTGTCTCTCTTCGTCTTGTTTTATTTCCCTCTGCAACACAACATATGTTCACCCCACACTTCCCTGCCCTTCTGTACGCCCTTTGCAACTCAGCCTACACCAAAAGCATTAGTTCTTGGTAGATTGATGGCTAGTTTTCAGAGAATATAAAGCCATAATGATATAGATTTAGGATCATTTCAGAGATTGATTTTCTTTCTTTTCTTTTTTTTGGGGAAGCTAAAAGGGTGAAGCCACTTATGTCAATGCTAATGACCATTTCCACAAGCATTTAGGAGAACGGCCCATTATCTGAAAGCTCATGTTATGGAAAATATGATTGGGAATGGAAGTTGTGTGCAATCTGAACTCACCTTGGACCGCTGGTCTGCTCCCTCTAGTGCAGGGCCGTGATCTGAGCAAACACGTGTCTGTGGATTCCATTGCAGCTTGATCTTATTTTCTGTTGTTTGAATTTATTTAAATCATTTCAATTGCAGTCCATCACCGAAATCCACCAAAGGAATTTGATAGACCAGACCTTGAAATAGAACGTGGTGCTCAGCTCCATCACTGCCTCCTGCAGAAATACAACTGACTCGCGTCAAAAAGAGTTGTTATAATTAACTTTGCAGCTTGTTTATCACATTTAGACTGTCAGGGAGTTTTCTGGGTGGGAGGGGTTGGATTTAACAAAGTTATGTGTCTTTAAATTGATCTAGAAAGGTTGCACTCTGCGTGTTTAGAGAGAAGTTCCCAACTCTTACACATGTAGAGTTTTCACTGTTCACTTAGCCTGACCTGTCTAAATCTCTTTTTTGCGCTCCCCCTGTGGTCTGCAGCTCTTGATACTGATGTTGTTTTTCAAGCCTTTGGTAACCCTGCTCTCTGACACGACATTTTCTCTGACATATTGATCTAGAGAGAGGGGAACACCGACTCCAGCAAGGGGACACGCTTCATTGCTATCGAACACCAGAGGCAGGACAGCCGTGACTCCTAAGCTTCAGTTCAGACTCTTAAGTTTCAGTTCAGCCTCCAAAAACCATAAAGTTATATCCTCTGTGTTTTATATGCGGTTTCAAAGATTAGTTAAAATGTCAATAAATATTATTTGTCATGTAATTAGCAATTTCATTAAACATAGAAGAGTAAGGAGCCTTTAAATAACGTGACAAATGACTTTCTCTTGCCCAAATGACAGTGTATTTCCCAGAGATTGGAAATCTGTCACATTCAAAGGAGTAATTGTTAAAACACAGACAATGATTTCCTGTACTATGCTTCCCTCTTCCTCTCCCAGCTCTGTGTTGCCAATAAAGAATAAACTTCGGCGATCTGACGTTTCCTTATGAGCCCACCCACTGAAGCATGCCTTTATGTCGGCTGTGCTGTAGACTCGGTTGGGCTGAATAGAAACTCCACAGGATGGGTTCAAATGGGCCATCAGTTAGACTGAATGCAACAGCCGACCTCCCCCTGCTCCGTCCCGGCATCCCGGTTGCCTGATTACATGTACACACCAATCCCATCTATCAGGCCATTGATTTTCCTGTCAGTCCACTTGTCTGCCTGTGGCTCTCTCCCTTTTCCAATAAGGACTTCATTGTTTGTATAGTTGTTTATGGATGTCCCAGGGAGACTGAATATTATGTGTGCTTGTGCACTATTCCTGGCTCTGTCTTTCTAGCCTGCTTTGCACTTCATTTCAGTAAAAAACCTGGCCACAACAAAAAACAACCAAGACCCCAGTTTGGGCCAAAAACACACACACATACACACATAAAAAAAACAACCTATCTTAGCTGAAGATTTTTCTAATCTCTCAATCGCATGTCTTCAACTTTCCACATCACTGTCCTTCAGCCCTTTTCCACTTCCTGCTTCCCTAACATAATCATTCCTTTTATCTCGCGCACTACCCTCTCCATCCACCTTCCAGTGACAGATGAAAGGCTGTAGGTTCTGCCGACTCGGCTGGAGCCCACACTTTATCAGCCCCTCCATCCCCCTCACCTGCCAGCATCAGTCCTGCTGCTGCTAAGGCACTAAGCCCAGTTGATGGATCGCGCCACTCTCTTACAGAACCTCCATGTTTCCCCTGCTCTCCTCATCCATCTCCATACACAGATATAGAGAGGAGGGGCCAAATCAAGAAAGATCGCTTCCCCGTGCCATCACTCCTACTCATGAGTTTGTTGCTGTCTCATTTGTTGAGTTTGTTTTTCTGTTGGAAATTTGATTTTCATCATCCCTCTCCCCCCCCCCACCCTCATCTTTCTCTCTTCCCTCCCCTTCTTCATACCTCTCGCTCTACTATCCATATCCGCTTCTCTCTTCAAGGTTCCTTATATCAGAAGTCCTCTGAGGCAAAAGACAAGAGTGATATTGGAAATTCATGTGAGTTATTGTTTTGTTTTGTTTTTTCCCCCCCATTTCGTTCTTTTTTCATTATTTCTGCATTCTTGTCACGTCTGCCTTTGTTTTGTTTTTTTTAAGGCATCTTTAATGCTTTAATGTGCACGACCTGAATTTGGAGTCTTACATACAGATTTTCCTTTTTAGCAAAAAGCAACATTTCAGAAATAGCCATTTTGCACTAAAAGCATAAAACAAAACACAACAACGTGTCCATAAGTAAAATGAAAAACAATGTTTGCGAATGTTCTTCTGTGTCCACCAGCGAGTTATTGTTGCTCTTCTGTTTTTTACTTCATAACCACCTCAGGATATGATCCGTTTTGATCGCCCTAACCCTTTCCTCGTAATGTGTCTGTGCTAGCAGGCTGCTTGTTTACAGCCACGCTACTATTCTCGAAGTAAGAGCTGACCCTGCTCTTTACCCTGCCGAACTTTGCCTCAGCAGCAGCTCATGCACTGTGTCAAGCAGACATTTTAACCTACCAGATAGTAAAGCTTTCGGAAATTAACATTGTTTATTGATCAGTTACCAGGCAAGAGCATAAACTCAATATAATATTTGCTGTGACCTCCATTTGCTTTAAACTATCACCAGTTCTCATAGAAATATCCTCAGTATGTGTGTGTGTGCATATCATATATATATATATATATATATATATATTTCAAAATTCTCAGCTAGAAGAATTTTTGTAGGTTGTTCTTGCGCAGTTCTTCTGTGGATTTCGGCTGCTTTAAGATTTTTGTCTCTTCATGTATAATTTAGGGCTGACTCAATGTTCTGGTCGGAGTGAGGGGCGAGGCTCTGTAAGACTGTTGCTTCTTGGTTTTAAAGGTCTTTGTAAATCTGTCTGTTTTTGGGTTGTTGTTAGTTTAAATGTGACCTTTTCAAAGAGCCCATTTGTTGGTATGTGCTATGGTTAAGAATTTGCACATCTATGCTGATTTTTTTTGGGGGTGGGGGCATTATTTTCCATCTCTCACCCATCCCTTTGTAAATTTTTGCAACCTCGCTGAGAATGAAGTGTTCAATAATCCCTTTCAGTTTCATTTCTTGTACTTTCCAACAATGGCTCATGTTCAAAGCGATGTATTAATCTAAGTGATACGTTTTAATGCGTACACTTAGCAGGTTGCTGCCTTTATCATCAAAGCATGAATAGAAGATTATTCGACTGAGGGGATATATGTTAAATAACTGCGGGGAAGCTTGGCAGAGGGAACGCAGTGAAATTACATTTTCAAACTTTCATCACTGACTCCCTGCTCTGTTTTCTGTTTGTGTCTGCGCTAGAGGAAGGAGTAGAGGATGTATCTTTAATGCGATGTCTCACTCCAGGCTGAAAAGTCATGGCTGGGACATGCATGTCCTTCCTCACAGAAAACATCTATGGGAGCACTACAATATTAATACCCTTTTTCCCCACTTAAATTGTAGTCTTTCAATAAAAATTACAGAAATGATCTTTAATTGAAATGGAGGTCACTCTAAATATTATTCAATAGGGATTCATCAAGAAATTAAATGTAATATGATTTAAATAAGTGTTGAATAGTGGTCTTATTTAATTACATTGAAATCCTTTTTATGGAATAAACATCAAACCATAAGTTACTGAAAATGAAGCCAGAAAGAAAGTATGTGATTAAAATGACACAACGCGTGACTTTCACTTGTCACGAAAGCACTCTGCTCTTGGTTTCCTTTCGCTCCGCTCCTTTATCCTCCTTTGTGCACGAGAACACAAGAGACACAGACTGAGTGCCATCTGTATCCCTGAGACACACGAGGCTAATTTACACAAATGCTCGGCCATCATGCACGTCTTCAAAGCGCCCTGTATGGATTTATGGGTGACACTGCCATCTACTGGTGCAGATATTGTGCAATTTAAACACACACATCATCTCAAAAATTGTTGTGTCTGCCCGATCACAACACCTTTTTTGTTCTCCTGTTGATAAGAGTGTGTTTGTAAGCATTTGCTTTGGCGTTTGCCTTTCTTTGGACAATGACTTCACTTGTGCAATGTCCATGCATGTGTTGAACAATACGTGCATACATGCTCATACATGCCTTTTTGACATTTCGTGTCCTCCACATAAGAGCTTCACCCCCATTTGTCAACTTGGTGACAGTGAAGGACATTCCTTATCAAACACCAAAGAGAGTTCAGACTGTCAGTAGGCATCCATTAAAAGGTTTGATCTTTAATGAGAGCCCGTCTGAGTCTGTATTTCTAAAAGGCACATATATCCATGCCAGGCCTACTAATCACTGAGGCTTCTCCAGCTGGATAGTGGACAGAAAGTCTCTGGGAGGGAGACGGAGATGAAAGACAATTTGAGAAATGTGAGCCATGTCTAGATCTTATCTGCAGTGTGTAAGAACAAAAACAGAGACAGACTCTGAACTTCAGCACAGAGCATGGTAATTTGAAGATGAAAACATCGACATCTCTGTCTTCAGAACTTTTGATCTTGGTTCTGAGCAGAAATCTTTGTGTCACTGGACCGCGGTGGAACAGCCTTCTTTATTAATTGTGCTGTTTAAATGAATTTTTGTCACCATTTACTTTATTATATGGTTATTACATTGTTATTTTATCAAGGTCTTGCACATGACACAGTGCAGTATGTATTATTTCAAGAATTCTGAGGCCATTTTTAACATTCGCATACAAGATAGTGAACAGATGTTGGCGTGCCTTTTAGTGTGTCGCACATGTCCAAAGCAAACAGTGAAAAAAGGCCCGATGATGTGTGTCAAACTAAGTTGCCTGCATCATTATCTCGCCTCAGTTTTAACAATCAAGAGAGCCTCGTGTTTTTTTCATGAACTGTGTTTCCCACAGCAGGTCAGCATTAATCAAAAACGACTGGAGCTATACTTCGTGCATTTATTTCTCAGTAGATAGTTATTAATATCCGGCTCAATCGTAAACCAGGATATTACCCTGCTGATAATGGCTTCATCACAAGTCCTGCATACTGAGAGAAAAAGGCTTTATGTCATAAATGGAAGCATTACGAGATCTTAAAAGACTATTTTTTTTTCTGTCTGTGTTTTTTGTCTTTCGTCCCCAAACTCCTTCTCCAGTGGCCCCCACTACTGATGATGTAGCTCTTTATGTGGGTATTGTGATAGCAGTGATCATGTGCCTGGTTATCTCCGTCGTCGTGGCACTCTTCATCTACAGGAAGAACCACCGGGACTTCAGCTCTGACATCATTGATTCCTCTGCCCTCAACGGAGGGTTCCAGCCGGTCAGCATTAAGACCGCTCGCAAAGGTGAGTTATACGAGAGAGGCGTGTGTGAGTGTTTGAGCGTTGGTTTTTCTATATATCAAAATGTAACTGCATCTCAAATCGGTACATAAATAGATTAAACTTTCTTCTGTGTGAAAGGTAAGTGCACCTTTGCTGTCCTAGAGTTGCCCCCTTTAATCCAAGGAACTTTTAGATCCGTAACTGTGTCACTGGCTTAAAAATTTTACCATTTTTCCAAGTAAAAATCCCTTCAGTTGCAAGATATTTGAAGAAAAGGCCATTTGAATGGGATTCTATAGCCCTCCATTTGTTCTTTTTGAGCCCATTATTAGTGGATTTCCTTTTGTCATTAGTATAATTATCCTGTTAGTTTCAGCTTTTGGGCAAATGGTCTCACAATATCTTCATTTGCTCTTTGATATCATGAAGAATTAATCAGTCACTGCAAGCTGCCCAGTCCCAGATGCAGCTAACCCTAATCCATTACATTTGGTGAGCTGTTTTTGGTCTGCGCCAAACATTTTTATGTATTCTGACCAAACAGTTCTGCCCTCGATTCGCCTGTCTACATCACATTATTCCAAGACGTCTGGTTCGTACCTGTATGTTCACTGGCCAGCTGTGATTTTGCTCTAATGTTCTTTTTGGACAACTTTTCAACTTTTTCCTGGAACGCCTCTCACGCACGTCAGATTTTAAGATTTTTTGGTTGTATATTCAAGCACTTGCATCCCAACAGTTGCAAAATAAACCCACGAATCATGGGATCAAGTTTTCAAGCATTCCTTGATGACTTCTTTTTTGCATCAGACAGTCTGCTTTTGCTGTGGCAGCTGTTCCCACACATGGAAATAGCTATTATTTTACCAAGAAGTGTAATAAATTTAACAAATGAGGCAAAACTTAAATGCACAAAGTTTTGAAAGAACCTAATGTGCCAAATGTTTCCTCAAAACCTGCCCAAAAAACGTGTTAAAAACTGAATATTTTGTTTCCATAAAATTAAGATACAGAAAGTGGCTCCGTGTATTGTTGAAGCTTAAGCACAATTCAATCCTCTTTTAGTAAAGGTGTTGCTACTTAATGGTACAGACTCAGTTCAGCAGATTAAAAGAAATGCAATACTCGACCTTAGACACACCTGTGTTGTCAGGCATATGGAATGACTTTCATTAGTACTGGCATTAATAATAGCTTCATTATCTTCAAAACATTACCTTAACCCACTGAGACACGTCTGACTCTGGAGGCACGTGCGTCAGCCGTGGTGAAACTATTAAAATGCTTGCTGTTGTGATGGGAGGCCACATTATGCCCAGTCATTAAAGCACAATAAGGCCAGTCTCTGTGTAATTAGATTTGGACTGTTGATGCAGGACTTAAAGTAAGTTACATGCATGAGGACAGGTCACTGTGAACTGGCCAAAAAGACAGCAGGGAGAGAGACAGAAATATGTAACTGTGTTGTAAATGATTAGTGTGAGCTTTTGGAAAGAGAAAATAAATAAATAAGTAAAAGCAGAAGAGATAAAAATACAATGAAGAGACTAGAGATGAAGCTTTTTAATGTGGGACAATTCAAAAAGATAAACACCATCGAACAACAACCCTTGTTAAAGGTGCTGCTTCTGTCACCGCTCTTATAAAGTAAAGGATCATTTGAAGCCAAGCCTATTTAAAACAGCTCCCGAGCAGAAGGCACTTTGGTTAAAGAATCTACCAATATTCAAGCTTTTTCATTTATTTATTATTTTCTAAAAGAAATCCAAACTCTGAAACTGTATAATGAAGCTGAATTTATATGAATAACATTATATTTAAATCATTTTACTTTCTGTTGATTATATATCCTTAACATTATCCTTCACCTTTACAGATATAGTTAATATATTAAGTATTATGATATAGTTCGATGTTACTGTGGGGTTTTTCATATTTCATATGTTTGATCCACCTGATCATGACAGAAACAATTGGTGGTGATTTAAAAAACAGTGGTGTTGGAGGAATCATATAAGCTGATCCACTTTACTTCCACCTTATCTCTGTCTTTCCTAAAGTAGCCTACTAAAAGCTGTAATTTATGTTCTATATATTGTATGAAGCATGCATAAAGCACGTCACACACAATTTGCTGTGAAGAAGATAATTCATGGGTGGAAATGACACATCCTCCACAGTGCTCAGTGCAAACAAGGGTTAAATTGGAATTTGTAATGTTGGGGAGGGGGGGGTCCCTTATTTCAGTGTTGCCATCGGTGCGCGTGCTGTGTGCAGGAGCAACAGTGACAGGGGAAATATCCCTACATGCAAAGAAAAATTAGCGTGATTGATCTAATTTGACAGAGTATGTGAACTATAACAAGGTCTGATCTCCGCTGACAGCTCTCTGCTCTGAAATGTGGCAGTGTGTAACAAATTCTCATGTCTCTGTGTCAAATACACAGTAGGAAAGATGGTGTAGGAACTGGTGTTTGAATAGAAGAACCAGTTAAGGGAATCATTGAGATTTTGCGTTTTACGGTGCTAGACACAGGCATTAATGATGTGCTAGGAGATGATTGTGTTAGCTTTAATTACCAAGAAGTGGTGCAATTTGAGTTTCTGTGATATTTTGCTCAAATCTTGTTTGCTGGTCATGACATTTTGACTTGAGCTTAAGCCTGCAAGCCACGTTAATGCGACACTTAGCTGAGATTATCCCTTGTTAAGTAGGTCTCAGTTTCATCCTGCAGTCCGTGGCACCTGTGCAATCTAATTAACAAAAGAGGGGGGAGGGGGGTTATCTGAAACCTGGTTTTGGGGGAAACCTGAGGAAAATATACAGTTTTATATGATGAGAGCTGAAGCATATTTTGTTTAATTTCCTAATACAGATTGTGAACATATGGGCCATACATTCTTGGAGATAGATGTTGCAAAACATGCCCTCCAGTGACACACTAGTACTTGCACTACTTCTAGTTTATTACTGGAACAACTTTTCTGACTCTCATTAACATTTGCATCATTTAGAAACTTGTGAGGGGGTGGAGACAGTGGAGAAGCTGGAGGACAGAGAGGCCCCCACTGACCCTCGCTCCACCCACTCAGTCCAGCTATTGAACATTTATCCTACTGGGTAAACCGAACATTCACGATGCCATCTGTTACTCATAAATCACAGCTGCACCTATAACTTCTCTGACTGAGTAATGTTTCTTGGTGGTGAAGTGGACCTCCCTAATGAGTAAAAAACAAAAAAGCCGTGCTGCAGTCTCACTGATTGCTGCCAGCAGTTCATTTCCTCATGGATATATAGGCTTCAAGTTAGTTTCTTCCTGATTCCTTTCCCAATACATGTGTTAAGACATTTATTCTGCTTTACCCATGTTGTTTTCTTTCCTTTTCAGCTGATCTCCTATCAGCACCCCCTGACCTGACCTCAGCAGCTGCCATGTACCGCGGCCCAGTTTACGCTCTCCATGACGTGGGTGACAAAATACCCATGACCAATTCTCCTCTGCTTGACCCGCTCCCTAACTTGAAGATTAAGGTGTACAATTCTTCAGGCTTAGTGACTCCACAGGATGACCTAGGAGGAGAATTTTCCTCTAAACTGTCACCTAAGCTGCCGCACTGCCTACTGGACAACGGTGACAACACAATGGGCCGGCGCACACAGACCCAGACGTTGCTCCGCACCAGGGATCCATCATGCACTGCTCTGGGCTCGTTCAGCTCCCAGGGAGGACAGCTTATTGTGCCCAACTCAGGTACTATACTAGCCAAAGATAGGTAGTGATTTTCCATATTTATATATTTTTATTTTATAGGTGATTCAGTTGGATATCAAGAAAAAATGTTGCATATTTCAAAGTATGCAGGAATGTAAAAAAGAAATAGTTTAAAAAATGAATAAACGAGCTTAGGTTCATGAAAAGCAGCATCTGCTACTTCCAGCAGATTCTATCAGTGTTCGTCTTAAAACTCATTAGCTGTCTTTTGTGAGTTATGATTGGAGCCACGTTTTTCATTCACTCAGTGGCACATCAGCATTTAGTAATAGCACCTCCACTTGTGTGGATGTGCATGTGTGAATGTCTATATGTGTGCACATAGTGAAAGGAAACTCCTCTCATTGTATAGCCTGATAGGAAATGAAATATACCATCAGCTTTTCTCATCGTGTCCTTAAATGTCTACTCTTGTTTCACTTAATAATGTGCTGGTGATGATGATCTCGGCCCATGTTTCCCTTAAAGATCTTCCCTTAAAGATCCCATTTTAAAAAAACATTAAAAGAAACTTCAAACACAAAACTTGCTGGTGTCTCCACTGGATTTCTGCCAGTCTCATAGTGATGACAAGACTCCGGGAAGTCACTATGTCTGACCAGGAAATGATCTGGCACATAATACCCTCCTCATAAAAGTGCAAGTTTACATTATTTATTTTGATTAGTGAACATTAGAGGTTGTGGTAGAGCCAGGCTGGCCGTCTCCTCCTGTCTTTATGCTGGGAAAAGTTTACTGGCTGCAGATTTTCTTTGATTTAGATTTAGTTAACATGTTTGACAGTGATATCAAACTTGCCATCAACTCTCTGCAAGAAAATACATTTCAGAAAGTTGCTACCTCCACCAAGGAGGTTATGTTTTTGGTAGGGTTTGCATGCATGCGTGTCATTCTGTCTGAATTCTGATAAAACTTTGCAGGAGTGTATAGTGGGGTCAACTTAGCAATCCATTCAAATTTGGCTTACGTGCGCCAAGGTCTTCAAAGTCAAGTTCATGATTTATTGGTTCAAAATTGACAGAAAGCCTTTTAACTATAAACTGATTCTTACAAATCCGGTGTGTACTGTCAACCTCTAGAAAGATTTCAAATATTATGGCATATTTGACCTCTGACCTCTCCTTCAAGGAAAAGGCTATGAATAAGCTAGGAAATAAATATGAAAAATTAAAAAGGGTAAATTTAACTAGGAAGGAATAAAATATAAATTAAGGTTAAAAATGAAATAACTGTACAACACAAATTAGAATGAAGGGTAAATTTAACTGGGAAAGAATAAGATAAAATATATAAATTAAAGTTGAAAATAAAATAACTGTACAACAAAATACACAATACACAGTATGGAACTATATAAGAATGTATGAAGAAATATAAATAGATAAATATATATATACACAATAACAGCAGCTGTACAAGTATTAACTGGAAATGAGCTGCCTAGTTAGTTATAAATATACTGTTGTATAGTATTATATAATTAGCTCAAGCTATTTACAAATCATTACCTATTATCCATTACCTACTCCTACACACACCTACATGTTTCTGTAGTCAAAGTAAACATGTGTGATTCTACCCTTAACTGCCTTTTACAGCACTACAAACTTCTTAAAGTACATTTAAACAGAACAAAGAAAACAAAATTAATATATACAAATTACAGTGCTTTTCCCTTAAAAGTAAATACTGGCCAGAGAGTGAGCTGCCTCGGTGAAGGTTTATGCTCCCTGAGTGCTTCCTGTTTAGAGATTGCTTTTACTCAAAGCTTAGCTTCATTTCAGTTGTTAATAGAAGCTCGTTTTCTCCCCTGGAAAAAAGACTTGCCACCCATAAGTCAAATTTTCAGTTTATTATCTCTAGATTTCAAGTTGGGTATCTCAAAATTGTGACTTTCTGACTTAAGCAAGAAGCAAGAGGAAAAAAAACCTCAAAATTGGATTTTAATGGCAAATTTTATTTTATTTTTTTCTGGGGCTCAAACAAACTTCCAAACTTGTTACACTTGCTCTCGCTGTCAGTGCAATATGAAGATTTCAGTATGTGAGAGCTTAAATATAAAGAGCTCTTCAGTAAAGTGAAAAATACAAAACCATTGCAGCTCTCAGTAGACACGGCAGTTCAAATCAACCATAAATGTTAACTTAAGAATTGTTAATCTTTGCAAACCCCAAGCAAACCTCTCAGTAAAAATAAAAGAATTCTTTTTAAAGCATGTGCAGTATCATTCAATACTTTGCTGTCTGAAGCAGTATATCCCTGATGATCTGCGACTTTGAAATAAGCTAAGCCATGTGCAGCCCATCAGCATATTGACTGCACGTAGTATGACAAGAGTTGATGGATACCCAAGGTGTGTGCACCAGAAGTGCTGGAGGTGTCCCGTTTCAGGCAGCTTACATTAGCCATGCTGTCCTCACTTCAAACACATGCAGACTGTTTGTAACGCGCCGCAGATGCATGCTGACAGGCAGAGGCAAACTAGCAGTGACATTAAAGGATACGCAGACTTCTCACATTTCTTAAATTTCTCTCTTTTTTTTCATTTTGATAACTGTAAAATGTTCTCAGCTGTTGGCTGCGCTCAGCCACCTCATCATGTTACATAGGAATAGGGAGAGGAAAGAGCACATTTGATATTTGATCTGTTTGTGAGTCTGGGTAATGAAATATTTTGTGGTGCTGTCACTGTGGCTGTTTGGTATTTTGCATCTTAAAATGCATTTCTCATCTCTTTGAAGCTTTGCTGTGAGGCAGAGTAGCAGCGCGCGAGACGTTCCCTTGGCAGAGTTGTGATTGCCTCGCTAGCTAGCTGGAGAAGCTGTCTGTCACCTTTTGAAAAGTTCAGTACAAGGACATGGGAAATCAATGAGCTATCTGAGATCCCTCCCCCACCACCACTCCAGAGAGAAGCCATGTGTGTGTTTGTGTGTGCGTATGCATGATGGAAATTGGGGGTTAGGCTTCTAAAAAACGCACACGCGCGTATCGGATAGGACATCTTATCGAATAAATCTGAGATGGAAAAATGTAAATCGCGCCTGCTGCAGCAATATGCCAAGGCTGTGACGAGCAAAGAGATCATTGATTTTTAGAAATGAAATTCCACATCATTTCCTGATACCATAAAGGAAGGTGGTAAAATTACATAGTTGCTGTGTGTGGGACTGAATTATTATTGTGTTTATCCAGGAAAAATATTCATTTGAATAAAATGAAAAAAAAAAAAATCAATTCATATCCCTGTAGTTGTGCAGCACTGCATGAAGACACACTAGTTAAATGTAAAATTATAATTTACCTTTCTATATTTGGAGTAGCCAGGATTCACCAGCCTGTTGGTCTCACTCTCTATACTCTCACATTCTTACAAAAGTCTCATAACAAGCACTGACAGTATAAAGACACCTCTGTCAACTTATCTTTTTTTTTTTTTGCTTTTTGCTTCCCAGGGGTTAGTCTGCTAATTCCTGCAGGGGCTATTCCTCAGGGCAGAGTGTATGAGATGTATGTGACAGTTCACAGGAAGGACAACATGAGGTATGCAACGACGCCCCAGAACCTTATTTGCTGCTGTCAACCGCTCCGTGTCACACATACATACTGAGAGTGCCATCAGATTGTGGCTAAATATTGTATGTATGCTATCCCTGTGCGCCTCCAGGCCCTCGGTGGAAGATGGCCAAACGGTGCTCAGCCCCATGGTGAGCTGCGGACCCCCGGGGACCCTGTTGACTCGTCCGGTCATCATCACCATGCATCACTGTGCCGTGTGCGATGGCCAGCAGGACTGGCTGATCCAGCTCAAAAGCCAGTCGCCGCAGAATCAGTGGGAGGTGAGATGTGAGATTCACAGAGAAATTTGTGCTACAGTAGACTGTATCTATCGACTGCGCTCGAGTTTCAAAAATGGGCTTCTGACGGTCGCACGCACACAAGAATTGAAATTATGTGTTTACAAGCGAATCTCTGCTCAGTGTGTCAGCGAGCAGTGAAAAAGAAAAGATGCTGTGAGAAATAAATCCATGATATGGCATGGGAGAACTGATAGGATGGAGGAGGTGAAAGGGATCAACGTCCCCTGCGTTGTTTGTCCAACTTATAGTAGTACTCAAAGTAAACCCCTGCTGCACCTAGGAGCTGAAATAGTACATCTCTAATAGCAGGGAATGGACTGGGACTGTTTTCTTGCCCAGGCTGTTTCCTTGTACCTTTATAACGGCAGGTTTTTCATCAGGTGTGAACATGTATGGGGGTTTTTCTGTTCGTGTTGCTTTTTTTTCAAGTCTTCCCTTTTGCTGTTTTTGTCAAACACACTGATGCAGAAATGGACCAATTACCAAGGGATCATTTGCAGAGAAACTTGAAACAAATCTGCTTGTTAGGAGGGAACTTTGTTAGAAATGTGCCAGGTGGTCAGCTTACCTCCAAAACATATCTCTCAGCACCTCACCTGACGTCGCCGACCTTCTTGCGGGCAGCTATCAGCATCTTTTCTTAGCTGTCAAAAGAAAAAAAGTCTTCCTTGTGGTTTTTAATTAACTTTCTACTCAAACCTTTTTAAGGAGAAAGGCTAAAGATAAAAGCATTTAATAAAGGTTAGCAGGAGCAGGGCGCAGTACAGGAAGCATAATGAAAGGCAATGCTTTAGTGATACGTAACACGACTCCAGTCTATCCAGGCTTATTGCATAAATGATAAGATGATAATCAAAATGCATATTACTCTCAGGAAGGCCATGTCCAAATATATAGCATCAGTCTATACCCAATAATAAGGCCTTCTGTCAGATCATCATTAAAAAGTGACTTAAATAATGTAATTTTCAGCAAGCCCTTGCATAATTTCCTCTTGCTGATGCGATGGCATTACTTACAGAGCCGAGGAAAAACTGCCCAACTGGCCCCCACATGCCTTCGTGACATTGATGAATTACTTGGACACAACCAATAAAGCTCAGTGTAAACTGAGGATTTTTAAAGAAGAAATGATTCCTGATTACATCTCCGTCCTGCCACAAACGCAGATGGTAATATGTGATGTGACGGCGGCTTCCTTCGTATGAGTTTCCTTTTCCCTCTGAGGCCAGCCTCGGCGCTGCATGAGTGAAATATTGCTTTATATGACATGCTCTGTCAAAATGTGTTTTCATCACTGCAGTGGATACAGGAGAGATGAGCTCCTCCAAAGGAGTTTTTCACGGATATTTATATTGAGAATAATCAGTTCCGTTGGCGTCTGGGAGCCCGCAGCCCTCCCCAGTTGATGCACGCACGCACACACCGATTCACACACAATCTCATGGTGTTGTGATGATGATGAAGATGGCGTGTCATATAATGAGGAACATGTGGGGATTTCTGCTTCAGTAACTCTCCTACTTAAAATCCTCCCACGTCTACATGGGAGGGGAAAAAAAGCCGGCTGATGAATTTTTGACTAAATTAACGTTTGTATGTTTGTATGTTTAATTGTTTCTGCCTGCACACAGTGCTACATATGAAGCAGGGCCACTTTTTCACTGTGCGTTCCAATTATCCCCCAATAAGGATCCCTAGTGCCATCCCACAGGAGCAGTTAAGAGTCTAATGATCTGCCATAATACTGCTGTTAAACGGCCTAGCTCACAATAAAATGCTGTAATTCCTCTTCTGTCTCTCATAATAGGCTGAATTAATACCAGTGTGCCACTCTGTGAGAGTGTTTGGATTAGAGCGAGAACGACGGAGAGACGGAGAGAAAGAATAAGCGAGATGAAGAGAGATGAAGAGAGGGTTAAAGAAAAAGAGGGAGAGTCGCAGGAGGCTCCTCAGACCTTGCAATCCTAATGAAAGAGAAATGTGTCCTGGCATTGGTGTCGTTACAGGGGTCAACTGCAAATAGTCGGGATACTTATGCTTCCATTTTCCCCGTGAGACAGTCTCAAATATTAGTAATACACACACACACTAACTGTTACTTCCAGAGTACACGGCTTCTGTGAAAAGGTCAGGACATTAATTGTGCTTTCTACATTAAAATGCGATTTAAATTCATTCTGTTTCAGTTAAATGTGACTGAGCACATTTCTGTGTGGCAAAAAAGCAACACATGTACAAGTTTAGCTATTAATTACCCAGTGGCAAAGATTTCATGTAAAAAATATGTGGTTTTCACTAATTAGCCAATCCAATTTAACATTTACAAATCCACACTTGAGGCTTTTAAATACACTCTTTTAAATACACAGACTCACTACTGTAGGCCAGTTAATATATGCATAACTCCACGCAATATACTATACAGTAACTCTGTAGTCTAGCGGTTAACAATAACATGTAAAAGATCACACAGTAGTTCAAGACCAGGAGGAGACACAAATCCCAGGAAGGGCTGTAACAGGAAGTGCATCCACAAGAAAAATCTGTGGTGACCCTTTAATAAAGAGGTAGCTGAAAGAAAAAGAAGACACTGTACCGATTATTTATCTAATCGGTTTCAAACATGGAATTCAGCAACAAGCTGTGACATTTTCTATTCTTTTGATAAAATTGCTGCATATTTTCCAGTTTTTCTGCAGATGTACAAATAATGCAAGAATATGGTTCTCACATAGGTTTCCCTGGACAACATGCATTAAACCGTTTACAGTTGCTGTTCTCCTGAAAGCCACTTTGCAACCCTCCTCTGTACCGTCACCTCCTTTTCATGCTGTGTTTGAGGTAATCAGGGTGATGTTTGTTGAGGTCTACTCTGGGTCATTTCTATCTTGGGAAACAGCTGGGGAATTATTTCAACCACTGGACAGAGAAGTAACGCGTTACTGTAATCCGATTACTTTTTTCGAGTAACGAGTAAAGTAAGGGATTACTATTGCAAAAACGGTAATTAGATTACCGTTACTTTCCCATAGGAACGCTGCGTTACTGCGTTACTAAAACCGTGATTTTTTTTGCGAGAATGTCTCATGACAGTGACGTAAGCGAGTGCGACGTTGTGACAACAGCTGTGTACAGATCAACAATGGATAATATATCGAGTGCGGGAGAGAGTATGAGCGTGCAGCGTTTAAAGCATGGAAGTACTGACCTTACTTTGAGTTTGACTCCATAAAAAGTGACAAAAACATTAGCGTCCGTTGTGCGTGGGAAGAAAACTTCTTTTTACAGCGAAAAAAACCCCTAAACTTCCAAGCAAGCACGAGTAGCTACGACGTAATGGGAAACTCACAGAGAAACTTGCGGATTCTTCCACTGACCGCTGCGGCACACCTGCACCAGGGTAAACCTCCGCCTACCCCACTCCTGCTTTACAGGTGAAAATAGAGCAACAGGACCGCTGAGTCTTTGACTTTATTTATTTTCTGCTGTGTTTTACTTGCATCTATTTGAAAGACTGAGTGTAAACACAAAAAATATTTTATTTTATGTGCTGGAATGTGCAGAAAATAGGTTTAAATGTTAAACTAATTTCTTCCAGTCAGAGAATGTTGCATATAATTAATTTTTGCTTGATGCATAAAGTTAAAAGATTAAAACTAATAAAACAAGTTTTAAAAAGAGACTTTTCCATTTGATTACATTTTGTATGATGGATTATGTAGAAAAAGTAGAATTGGGCTGAAAGATCTATCGCTTTATCACCTCTTCAGGTTGTAAATCGTGTTTTTAAAAAGTAACTAAGTAATTAATTACTTTTGAAAGTAAGTAATCAGTAAAGTAATGGGATTACTTTTGGGGGGGAAGTAATCAGTAATTAGTTACTGATTACTTTTTTCAAGTAACTTGACCAACACTGCCACTGGATGCATTTCAGAGGCTTTACTCTTGATTTATATGCTTTTGACTGAGTAAGTCAAATTTATGACTTCAAAACTTCATCTGAGCTTCTTCATTTCACGTGAAAGAAAATAATTCAAATTACGTCAATCTTATATTTTGCTCCAGTGGTCCAATGACAATTGTAGCTACACAGTGCTGTGCAGGTCGAGGGATTTATCCCTCTCATAGCACTGTAGGCTCAGGCATTCAACATTCTTCCTTTGCCAATGTATTCCTCAGTTCAGTGAATTTCATATATTTGATCCATGATGCATGTCCTCTGTGTAGCTCTGTCATGCTGGCACGCCCTGTCATGTGCGTGTATATATACATATGCATATATATGAACAGAACTGTGACATCTATAGCACTTTCTACACTGCAACATGGACACAATTTTAAGGTTTACGCGCGTATGCAAACGCAGCACTGCAGGCTACTTGGGGTTTAATATCTTGAATTATCCAAGGACACTTCAGCATTGTATGCAGGAGTTGGGGATTAAACCACCGACCACAATCAGCCCTATGCCATTAAAAACAACAAGGTTTTTGGGAGGTCATGGGTAACCACTGAGCAATGTGCAGGTCCATCTATGAAATGTAACTGAAACAAGAAGCATTACCTGTGCAAATGAAAAAGCAACTTCAGAGTACTAAAGTCGACTTCTAAATAGTTGAACATGCACAATTTGACACTAAAATCATTCATAGATGCAAGTCTTGCTTACTTTATGTAAAGAAAAATTATATTTTCTGCCTTTCTCATCAGCCATCATGAAAATGACTGCAGTTTTCAAATGGCTAATGGGCTCGATCAAAAAAGTAATCAAAAGAGAGCATACATGCCAGTTTTGGTACTTGTATCTATCTCTGAACATTTTTGCTGTAATGTGAAGTTATCTGCTTCACGAAACAGATCAATACAACCAAATAGAAATGACAGCTGTAGCAGTATTGTGCGAGCAAATGGAGATATGTAGGGAAAATTGGATATGGCATATTTTGCTCTAGTCAAAAATCGTATTAACCATGCAACACTTCTATTTTTTGCTTGATACATACATAACAAAACCCAGGCTTATTCTTCAACATTCCTCTTTTTTCCCCTTTCTCCTTGTCCACGCTCTAGGATATAGTGGTAGTAGGAGAAGAGAATTTCACCACACCTTGCTATATCCAAATGGATGACGAGGCTTGCCACATCCTGACAGAGACGCTGGGCACCTACTGCCTCGTCGGTCAATCTCTCAGCGCTGCCACCACTAAGCGCCTCAAACTAGCCATCTTTGGCCCCGTCACCTGCCCAGCCATGGAGTATCACATCAGAGTCTACTGCCTGGACGACACACAGGACTCACTCAAGGTAAATGCGCAGCACGCTGTACTGAATGTGTGCATAGCCTTTGTCTCATTATTTGTATCACTGAAATGAATATAATTGTGATTTTTTTTTTCCCCGCTGTAACTGAATTGTTTATGCGCAAGCACAGCCAGCAGATGATGTGTGGGAGGCAGAATGAGAAATCTTTGTGTTGGTGTGTCACAATAAGGAGATACAAGCGCCTGTATTTGAATAACGTAGCTGCTGCAACAACACAAAATAAGCCACATATATCCCTCCTTCTCTACTGTTGTCTCATCACCTCAATTCTGTTTAATACCTTCATGCGCCTGCATGAAGGAAAGATAAGGAAGGATTATTGTACTGAGGAGGGATATTGAACACAGTTATTAAGTTTGGGAATGAGTAATGAGAAGTGATAGTGATCCTGCTGCAAGGACACAGAAGTTGATTTCAGGTTTGCATGTCTAGATTTAAGTTTGTAAAGCCCTGCGGATGATTATAACGTAATATTTTATTAAAAACGAATCATTTGTAAATGTACTTGTGAGAATTCCCCAGAGACTATTATCACAGGAATACAGCAGCAGTTTGTCTGCTTTTCAACTGGTATAAAGAAGAAGCTTTTTGAGGTCGGTATAGATGGTGTCCTTGCTAATCAAGCTTGCTTTTGTTTATTTAGGAAGTCCTTCAAATGGAGAAGCAGATGGGTGGGAAGCTGTTGGATGAACCAAAGACTCTCATCTTTAAGGACAGCACCCACAACCTGAGGCTTTCCATCCATGATGTTCCCCACACATTATGGAAGAGCAAACTGCTAGCCAAGTACCAGGTAAACTGCTCATTTTACTCCTTTTTCAGTAAAAGGCCATGCACAGTGTGCCACATGGTTTCTCCCACCGATGTAACTCCTCTACACTTTCCACTTCTCTGCAGGAGCTTTCCTTTCAGCAGGTGTGGAGCGGCTCACAAAGGAACCTCCACTGCTGCTTTACCCTGGAGCGCTTCTCTTCCAGCACGGTGGACCTGACCTGCAAAATATGTGTGCGCCAAGTGGAAGGAGAAGGACAGATTTTTCAGCTGGACACTACACTGTCGGAGGTAGCGTTTGATACTTGGAGTAAACATCCCCCCCCGGCCCCTGCAGGTGGATGCTGGGCCGGTGGAGGGGTTGAAGCAGCAGGCAGTGATGCAGGGCATCAGCACCACTGACTTGTCAGAGGGAGATTGGAGATTTTGGAGCCTAAAAATAACAATAAATTGGGTGGGGACGGTGTATGACATGAGGAGAGTGAAGCATGTAAATGTGTAGGACAGTCAGGCTCAAGTTGGATGCCAGACCTTTAAGTATAACAAATTAAATACCATCTGATTTCATTATATTCACATAAAAGAGCACTACACGACTAGCACTACAGGCTGAGGAAAAATGCTTGTATTTGATTTTGTAATGAACTCTTTCCCTCCTAATGCTTTCACTTGATTTATAAAGGCTTAAAGTAATTATTCACCTTGACTGGATACGGGGCATAGCCTTCGAAATTATAATGGAAACCTCAAAGGTCTGTGCGACTTTTGTGCTCTGCTTTCACATGAATTTTGCATCCAGAGCTGTTTTGACTCTTCCCCTCCACCTCGCCCTCATTGTCCTTCCACCGAGCCAGACGCTCAGAATGAATTTAACCTCGTTTCCATTTCCTCTTCCCACTTTTTGCAACGTTCACAAAAACTGGCAAGGTGTGAGACAGGGGAGTTTCAACCATGCCGCCTACATAGAGTCTTGCTTATGACAAGAGAGGAGCACAGGAGGGTATAATAAGCCTGTGTCGTCCCCCCCCAGTCATGCTGCACTTGCTTTACAAAGGCCATCTGGCTAGGAGAATAGAGCTTGAGGGATGGAGGAGCACTCATGCTTTGTGCTCAGTAATGAGATAAATTACAGTACATACAGTGCAGAGCTGTGTTACTGCCTGGCCTTGGTTCATTTGTCTCTGGGTCTTGATCTGGTTTCTGTAGCCAGACATCCAGTGCTTAATCCTCCAGATGCAGTATATTTAAAAGAAAATCACTCAGCTTGCATCAGTAAATGGATGGCGACGCAACGAAGGGTTTTCAATTTTTTTTATGGCACCTGGAAAAAGAAATTTCCTGTGCTACAAATCCATTTGAACTACATTATGTTTCATTTTGCGAGGTGTTGAATTATGTCCAGGCAGTCTGCAAACTAGGGGGGGAAAAACCACAGCTACAGTCTGTGTCTCTGCTTTAATCCCTCTCATTCTCTCTTTACAGGATTCCCAGAGTATTGACACATCCCTGCTGGATCCTGCCAGCAACATCACGACACTGGTAGGGCCAAATGCCTTTCGCATCCCTGTTTCTATCCGTCAGAAGCTGTGCGGCAGCCTGGACGCACCGCAGACCAGAGGCAATGACTGGAGGATGTTGGCCCACAAACTCAAGCTTGACAGGTGGGTTGACAAACAATGAAAAGTGTGAAATGGTGACTTACATTTAGGACCTCTGGGATCACAGTCTGGCCACAGAAACAGGCTTTACTTTAAAGTTAAATAGTTTAAACAAAACTATTTTTCTGTTAATATAGACAACTAAAATGAAATATATTAGAATTTGTTTTAAAAAAGTAATTATTCATTTATCCATCCAGCAGGCCAGCCATCAGTACATCTTA